ACGTGGTGTTGTTGCTTAATACTGACAAACCTAAACTTTTTTACTGACCGTTGCGCCACCTTTTTATGCCATACTGTGAATCTGTATTTGTGATATACTAAAAACACATTGGACAGGCTTAATCTAGTCAATATTTAAGTCAAGTTAGTTTAAGTTTAGAAAATTATATCAATACTATTATAAATACAAATCCAATTAACATTTCTATCATTAATTATATCCAAACATTTTGTCCGTCGTTTTACAGTCGACTGTTTAATAAGTGCTGTCCTTCGGTGGCATTCATTCTCTTACAAACAGACAGACCATTCTTCCGGATTCTAAGTTCACAAGTCTTGAGATGAATCGCTGTTAACAATTCATTCAATTGTCTTTGCAATACAATCACAATTGTATTGAGACTCTTATCTAACAAATTAAATGAAATAAAACAATCAATTAATTCAGGCATTAAATGTCATTAAAACTAATGTCACAAACCGTTTGAATTGATGTCAAATAAACCGTTGCTTAACGACAAACAATCCATAATCTTAAGGGCAGATTCTCTGACAGGTTTAATGACCAGTAGTGGTAACGAATGATCGGCACAAATGGCCAGATTCTGCATCTCAACGAATGGTAACATAATATGGTATTTAAATGTCATTGAGTTATTGGGCTCAACGTTACAGAGTTTAATGCCATCGCTAGTCATTATAATAGAGTGACCGGTTGTCCGGTATTTACCAAATATTAGATATTCGACCGACAATTTAGGGCCAAATTTATGCGAATCGGCGCTCAATTTATGTGTTAATAATTTGTTTTTGGTCTCCATTTCAATCAACTTTGTATTCATGTCATCCTTTTCTTTGACGACGGCTTCCAACCTATCCTTCAATTCTTTGCGATCATTCACTAAGAGTTCAATACAGTTGTGCTCATCAGCGCTCACACCCGCCGCCAGACCACACGCGCGGCACAACCGGTGCTCACATTGTGTGTGATGTGCTGACAGTGACTCCAATGGACACACTTCGTGGCATCCGTTCCACTCGTACTGGCATTTAATCCGCAATTTCCCGATAACTGCGTTCAGACGCCGACACTTAATGACGGGAACGTCTTCGCCAGCCATTAGTGGCAAACTCTGGTCACCTCTGGTTCGCTTTCGGATCCGCTTCTTCGTGGCCAACGCTTCCCGACATTCCGGACAGTCTTTGACGCCGACGTCGGGTCTGGAAAGCCATCGGTCGAGACATTGATAGCAGAAGGAGTGACCGCCTTGTGTGACCACAGCGTTGTTCAACACATTCAGACAAATACCACACTTGAGTTCAGTCAATACAGACAACGACTCGTCGCCCGAAACGTTCACAAATCGGTCGCAACTGAAGCCAACCATTGGATCAGATTTAGTGTTCACTTCAATTATACTTCACTGCAAAATGTGTGTGAATTTAGTGTTGAATTCATTTAATTGACACGTGTTTTAAGACACGCGTTGAGTGTTTGAATGAATACCTAATTGTGTGAATTGTGTGCAAATGATTGCCGGGAATGCAATCAATGATTGACTGCTTGTATAGTTGTATAGCACTATAGAAATGACAATTCAATTGCTATCAAAATCAATACAAATTGTTATGTCAATGAAAACCTCAACAAAACACGCATTCAATGTCAATGTTATTCAATGATTCAATAATATGTAATGCAATGGTTTGCACAGAAATAACATGAGTTGTGAATGCAAACTATCCCTCAATTCATTCATTCATTCAATTCATTCACAATTCATATGAATTATCATTTTTATTGTCTTTAAAAAATTTAATGAATTACAGAATAATTGAATCAATTCTTAGATATAATAACACTTGAGATGAATATTATTAAATACTGTCAAAAAATTATGAATTTAAAAATATATGTCGACTAAAAATATTTGTTTTTCAAAATAAGAGTTGGAGTTATAAACAGTTAAATGAAAGCAACATTTTTATGAATAATAGACTATAAAATAGTCACTAAATTATTATAAATGCAATTTTAAGCAACATTATAGCCGTCATTATATCCAAACTTTTGTCCATTAGTTTAGTTGCGGGCGTCCACTAAGACCTGTCCTTCGGTGGCATCGATTGTCTTACACTCGCACTCACTGTTCAATAGTTTACATGTGTTGATCACTTCTGTGGCAAACGCTTTAGTCAACGGCATTTGCAATGCAATCACAATATTATTGCGACTCTTATCTAACAAATAGTGGAAAACAAAGCAATCATTTAATACAAGCATTAAATGTCATTAAAACTAATGTCACAAACCGTTTGAATTGACATCAAATACATGTGTGGTTAACACCAAACACTCCACAATCTTTCGGGCAGAGTCTCTGACAGGTTTAATCATCAGCAGTGGTAACGATTGATCGGCACAAATGGACAGACTCTGCATCTCAACGAATGGTAACGTAATGTGATATTTGAATTTGGAGTTAGTATTCGGACCGACATTAAAGAGTTTAATGCCATCGCTAGTCATCTCAATAGAGTGACCGGTTGTCCGGTATTTACCGAACAATATATGACCCTTAGATGTCTTCGCAAACGGTTTCGCTTTGGGTTTTGCTTTCGCTTTAGGTTTCGGTTTCGTCACAACACTATTGGCCGACAATTGGGCCAACTTTTCGCTCAACTCTTTCTTCTCTTTGACGACGGCTTCAAACTTATGCTTCCATTCGTTGCGCTCTTTCAGTAAGAGTTCAATACAGTTGTGCTGATCCGCACTCCGACCCGCAGACAGATTACACTTACGACATATGCGGTGCTCACATGTCTTCAGATGTGCGGCCATTGAGTCCAATGGACAGACATGTGTGCATCCGTTCCACGTGTGCTGACAATTGATCCGCAATTTCCCAATAATAGCGTTGAGACGACGACACGGATTGACTGAAAGCACGAGTCCTCCAGCGATGACCGCATTTCGAGTACTTGTCGTACGCTTTCGGGTCATAGGCTTTGTGGTCAACGGATCCCTACATTCAGGACATATGACATGAGCTCCGGATGTGGACAGCAATCGGTGGACACAGTTGTAGCAGAAGGTGTGTCCGCATTGTGTGGCGACCGCGTTGTCGAAGAGATTGAGACAAATACCGCACTTGAGTTCGTCGGCCAACAGATCCATCGGTTGATCCTCCGAGAGATCAGTAAACGTCACCATTGGATCAGATTTAGTGTTCACTTCCATTGAATGCACTGTTTTGTGTGAATTGTGTGCAAATGATTGGCTGATTGTATGAACACTATTGACGGCCAATAGATTGATATGAATTCATATGAAATCACGTTTCAATCAATTGTTATGAAAACATCAAACATAAGGCAATGCATTGAATGCATGCAATGTCTGGCACACCAATGGTTGGCACATCAATAACACGCGGCACACAAATACGTGCTTAAGGTTTGAACGCAATAATAATGTTCAAACTTTTCGTGTCTAACAGTATCTGTAATGAAGAGTTTGTCTGCATTTAAATCACACTATTTATAGATTCGTTGTTTTAATTATATTAGACTTAGAAACTAATCATAAATTATTTATTAAATTCATTGTTAAACAATAAAATTATCAAAATATTTTTTCACTACTACAGTATTTGTCAATTCTTATCACGAGTTTATATCATTTAAATTAAACGAGTTCTTAGTTCTAAAAAGAGGTATAATTAGTGAATAGAGTTCAATAACACTAGACACAAGAATCCCATAGATTCAACCCTTGACCCCATTTGTGTCAATCATAAGTCGCGTCTAATATTTTCACTTATACTGATTTTGGTATTGTTTTTCAATTGAAATGTACTTTAAAAGTTATTTTTATTATATTTGTATGAATTTTTTATTTGAAATGAAACTAAATTTATGTTTGAATTTTTGTAACGATTAGAGGGAAAGACGCGAAAATAAGAATTGGGAACGAATTGAAAACTATATTAGCATTAAAATGAAGGGATAGTCAGTCAGTCCTGGAGTCAGTATTTGGGGCTCAAGTTAGTCAAGATTTGGGACTCGAGTCTGGAGTTGGGCTCAAGAGTCGTGTTGTTTATTGTTTCGCGTCTTTTGCTTTAATAATAATAGTTTTGTATTGAATTTGTATTGAGTTTATGTGTATTTTGTTTTGTGAGTCGCGATTGAGATCAAGTCGAAATAAAGATTATTGAAAATTTGATTAAAAAGTGTTTAAAAGTTTATTTTGATCAAAATTAAAATGTCTGACCACGCCCCGTTATAATTCTGTTAGATTCTGTTTCAATAAAAATTCAAATTATAATCAATTGAATTGAACTAAATTAAAACGTAATTAAATATTTAATTAAAATTTCAATTTGTGAATAAAATTTTATAAGTTTAACAAAAGTTTTTCAATGAGAATGTATTTAGAAATCAATACATTGTTTTGATTCAACATTTCAACCAATGATTGTTTCACTTCTGAATTCACTACCAATCGAAACCATTGGTCGCACACTTTTGTGTCGGCAATGAATTGAACGCAAAACTCATACAAATTGTTGACAATTGGGAGCAAATGGTCGGATCAAATAGTATAACGTAAAGTCATCTAAAAGACATTCAAATGAGTAAAAAGTCGGACAATGTTTGGCAAACATATGAGCGGTTCGTAAATAAACGACATCTCAATAAATGAAAGCCGTTTGAGTTGTGGTAATTATGACAAATATGACATCAATTGTTGCATCAATTCATTACACGACCAAATCTTAAATGTTATATCATTACACTTGTTGTGCCACAAAGTGTTATACTTTATTACCAAATGTCTTAGATATAGAAAAACTTGAACACAATTTGACCACATATTTGTCTCAATGATCACACCATTCAAACTCAATGAACGCAAACCAATCATTGGATTCATTGCAGTTGTATTGACGCAAACTTGGGATTTAATGGATAACTTTCGCAGCGATTGTTTTTAATGCCATTCATTGCGAAGACGTGTTGTTTAAGATGTCCAATGAATACAAGGCTCTTAAGGCACAGACCATCACATATTGTGTCAAAAAAGTCCCATTCATTGAATACTTGAAACATATATGGCGTCCGATCGATAATTAACTGTTGGATGAGATGTCGGTTACCATTAATTAGTTCCTCCAATAAGAACTTATTTATTCTTTTGTACAAATCATGTAAACATCTTAAACATATAGTCTTTGGCTTATAATCGATGCTTTCGTCCATTGATTTCGTGCAATAATTCATATTTAATCTCTTGAGCGAAGACAACGGTTCCAATAATTCGCGTCTAAACTTGACTATAACTAAATAGCGTCCGAATGTAAAATCAATGAATAACTCAATTGAATCCAATTTAGATAATTGTTGCGCGCATTGTGTCCATTCCTCTTCAGTCCCATTTAAGTCAATACTATTTTAAGACAAATTCTTTAGTAGTGGACACAATCAAACAGTCATCCAAATGAAAATTTTTATGTCTGCATATCGATATATAACACAAAAAAACTCACACACAGCGATGTCTGTCTTAAAATGGTTTTAATGCAATGATCTTTTGTGTTAAATGCATTGTTATTGAAATGATGTCTGTCTTAAAATGGTTTTAATGCGTTGATCTTTTGTGTTAAATGCATTCTTATTGAAATGATGTCTGTCTTAAAATGGTTTTAATGCGTTGATCTTTTGTGTTAAATGCATTGTTTATGTAATGATGTCTGTCTTAAAATGGTTTTAATGCGTTGATCTTTTGTGTTAAATGCATTCTTATTTATATGATGTCTGTCTTAAAATGGTTTTAATGCAATGATCTTTTGTGTTAAATGCATTCTTATTTATATGATGTCTGTCTTAAAATGGTTTTAATGCGTTGATCTGTTGTGTTAAATGCATTGTTATTGAAATGATGTCTGTCTTAAAATGGTTTTAATGCGTTGATCTTTTGTGTTAAATGCATTGTTATTGAAATGATGTCTGTCTTAAAATGGTTTTAATGCAATGATCTTTTGTGTTAAATGCATTCTTATTTATATGATGTCTGTCTTAAAATGGTTTTAATGCGTTGATCTTTTGTGTTAAATGCATTGTTATTGAAATGATGTCTGTCTTAAAATGGTTTTAATGCGTT